AAATGGACATAAACACACAATTCACAAATGAATGGGTCCTGTTAACTAAATACAGACCAACCTCAGTTATCAAGTATGAAGTATAGAGGAGTGCAGACTAGGTCATTAACAGAGGCTATCTTTGGGTTGGGAGTTATGGGTAATTTTTACTTTCTTTGTATATGTTTTGATTCTAAAATTTTTTGTACAGTGAACACGTACAATTTTGGTAAGCTGTTATTAAGTAAAAAACCAACTTCAAAACACTGTGGGAAATGTGAAATATGGAAACGACCTCTTCCCACTCAAGGAAATGTTCCTAGTGCTACATGAACCTCTTGCTAATGGCTTCCACATAACTTACCACTAGCACTGTTTAGGAAATATAGTAAGAAGAATGGATTCTTAAAGTCTATGACACAGTAGGAAAAACCTAGTAAAATCATCCACTACTTAATTTTTTTGGTATTAAAAAAAGAGTTCCTTTCTTTAATTATCTGTTTTAAACTTATATCGAAGTTTGCTCATGAAAGCTAAATAATTCTGTTGTTTGGTTACAAAGTTAGTACATAAATTCTTTTATTTCTTCTATAAGGAGATCAAACCAGTCAATCCTAAAGGAAATCAATCCTGAATATTCATTTGGAAGGACTGATGCTAAAACTGAAGCTGAAGCTCAAGCTCCAATACTTTGGCCACCTGATGCGAAGAGTTGACTCATTGGGAAAGACCCTGATGCTGGGAAAGATTGAGGGCAGAAGCAGAGGATGACAGAGGATGAGAGGGTTGGATGGCATCACCGACTCGATGGACATGAGTTTGAGCAAATTCCAGGAGACAATGAAGGACAGGGAAGCCTCGTGTGCTGCAGTCTATGGGGTCGCAAAGAGCTGGATGTGACTTAGCGATTGAACACCAACAACAAAAAATTCAGGACTAAAATGTTTCCTTATAATTTCTATTTATCTTTCCTGAGACTGAAATATAATTCTCCCCTGAATTTTTCTTCCAATCTCCAATTTTTAAAGCTGCAAGTCAAGTGCTCTTTTGTGCAAAATTATTTTGTGGTTTTTATTTAGCTATATCTTTATCTGCTTTGTCTGGCAGAAACTGAGCATGAGAAAGGACTTTGATATACTCTGACACTCTCTCCCTTGACTGAGGGGAGGGCTAAGGCCCACTGAGGTTCAGTTACTCACAAGTGAGAAATAGGACAGCCAGGCTAAAAATAACCCAGGCAAGGGCAGTTTATTGCTTCTTTAGACTCATTTTCACTTCAATGTTATACTCATAAACTAGAAGGAGTGTTCTTTAAGATCGAATGATAGTTTAACTTAAAGAGAAATGTTCAGTTTAGTGCTTAAATATTGTCTCTTGTTGGACATGCCAGCAATCCTTCCACTGACAGGACGCTCTGGCGAGGGCTAGTGCTTTCTGAAGGCTCTTGACAGATGTTTTACCAGCTTGGCCACAGTTCAAAGGAAGGTGAGGAAGACAGCCCAAACATCTTACCTCCATATCCACTTTTCTGCAGCACTAGTACTAAACACCATTTTTAAATTTCCCAAAGAATCATAGGTTTTTACAGCTTAGATTTAAAAGGAAATAAGACTTTTGAACTTTACTTCTGAATTGTAGAGAGGGGCCAAATGAACCATTAAGGTGGATACGCCTTTAAAAAAAAAAAAAAGGCGGCTCTATCTAAATTAAAATTTTTGGGTTGCAAAGTCACCTTCACAGCCCTTGATCTGCTAGGCTGTAAGCTCCTTGAGGGCAAGAATGATTTTTTTCTTTTTCTTTGTTTCCCCAGTGCCTGCCAGAGTTCCTGGCACAGTGTCAGCACTCAGCAAATTATGTTAGAATGTGATGGTAAGAACAGATGGGAAGAGCCTCCAGAGACTAGGAGTGGCTGTAACCAACGCTCTGTGAGACAGCAGATTTGTGCTGACTCTGAAATGTCCCAGATCCAGACGGGTTCCACGATTATTTACACAATAAACTTATTACTTTGGAAAGTAAAGTTATAGCTTCAGTTATTATTGGTTATTTCCTTTAATAAAGGAATAATAAAAATGAGAAATAATTTTAACTTTCCGAAAGGTTCCCAGGCTTTACATCAGAGAAAGCAGTCTTGACACAGGATCTTGGGTTTGTAAATATGCAAGAAAACATTGCTGGAATGGGACATGCTGAGCTTCCTGCTCTTCATATTTCTAAGGAAAAGAAGGTGGGGGGAAAACAAAACTCTGAAACTAAAGGTAAAAACTGCAAAAGGACCCACTTCTAGCAATAGATCCAAAACTGAGACTATAAGGGCTTCAAGATTTCTTATGAGAAAATGTAGTAAGAAAAATACAGTGACTCATCCTGTAATCATGCCCTTTCTTCCCAAAGTACACAGCACGATTCCCACATCCCTGGCACGTGGGCACTTGGGACGGAGCTATTGCAACACGGAGCGCCTCTCCGCACGGGGCCCTCGTGCAGGGCGGGGGAGAGACCTCCCCAGTGCCGGGCAGTGGCGCGGCTGCACTTGCGCTGCCCCGCATCCAGGCGGAGCAGTTCTGAATAGACGCTCCCAGGTTTCCCAGCCAGTCATCACTTCAACACTGAAGACTAGAAAGGAAAAGAGGACAGGGGAAGGAAGAGGCAACCTCTACTTGAGGCCACAGACGAGTAAGGTGGCCAGGCTCTGGCCGGTGCCCACTCTCCCCGCCACTTCTGCGGCTGGGGAAGAGGGAGCGAAGTCAACAGTTACAGGACAAATGACTGACGTTCTTACCAAAGACGTTTCCAACACGCCGCTCAGGAAGAATGCTCCCAGGCCTCCCTGTTCCTGGAGAGTAACTACCGAGAGAAATGAGATGGCTCCGGCCCTGGGGCGAGTGTCCGTGTGAACAGATAAAATGATCCGAAGCTTTAAGGGACATAAGGAAGTTCAAGGGCTAGTCAGAGGAGGGCCAGAAGGGCAGAAGGCCGTCCTGGCAGGGAAGGGTGCTCGCTGATCCTCACATAGCCAAGATGGGAGGGCTCTGCAGAGGCCACGTGTCAGGGAGGATTGACTTGGAGGCACCTGGGAAGGAAGGACTGGGGTCTTGGCTGCACAGGGCATTTGTGGGTGACAAGGCCCCCGGCTTGACCTGGGTGTGTTGTTATTCCTGGAGCAGGCACTCAAGGAAGTGGGGGACAGGCCCATGAGGAGGGGCTGCAGAGATGGGCGGGCCACACAGAGCGGGGCTTGGAGGTGCCAGGGATGGAAGCCGCCCTGTCAGTGCCCAGCGTTAGCTGACCGAGGGAAGTGTGCATGTGAAGGATGGCCAGAGGTGGAGACAAGGGCAGCTCAAGGCTGACCACAGCTAAAGGGAAGCACGCAAAACAGTGAAAGAGCCTCAAGATAGAAATGGCACTTTTCTCATAAGTTGACTTGGTGAACTCCCAGTGTTATCCCTGGATATCAGAACATTTTGAAGATAAGAAAATGGAACTGGCTCGTGCAAAAGGCTCAGACCAGTCAACTTTTCATAATGAAAATTCTTCACATTTAGGAAGTCCTCCAGATTATAAGATTTATATGACAGCAGCTATAGAAAGCTTACATCTGTACAAATACCAGTGCCCCTAAGGAGGATGATATTTCATTTGCATGGAGATGTTGTAACTCATCCTTAATAATTTAGAATATTAAGTATTAATATTACATGTCATACAAGATCTAATTTTTTCTGTATTCCATTTGAAAACAGTAATACTTTGTGGTACAATTAATTGTCTTCTTGAACCACAAATCAATGTTTTCATTGGTCTGAGAATCAGTTAAACTATATTACGTTACAGTTGTTTGCCAGCAGTATTATTACTTTAGTATTTGTTAATTTACTAAGATAATTCAACATCCTAGAAATGCTTCAGAAATAAACTTTTAACACTTGTCACCAGATGTGCTTCATTTATTGCACTTAATGTGTATATTTAAGAGCTGAGCTGCTAGATGGAATAAGTGTCTCACTGGCTTTTCTGAAGGGCTCACCTGTTCTGGACAAAGGTATCTAAATTTAAATATCAATCCTCAGAAGACTTTTCTTGGGTCTCTGTTCAGCCTTCTAGTCTCTGAAACACTTTTCTTATGTTTATTTAAGATGAGATAAGAAGCTGGTTTTGGACCATGAGGGCCAAATTTCAAATGGATTAAAAGATAACAAACATAAGGGGTAATCTAATATCCCCACAAATTATTTTAGAAGCATAATAATCATGACATATATCATGTCCAGGTTTAGGGTCTGCTAGACGTTTTTTCCTTTTTGTTAAAGTTTCAAGTCACAAGTCCAAGTCCAAAAATATGAAAAACAAAAATTAGTACAGAGGTAAGCTCAGACAGATTGGGCTGTGACTGCAGCAAGACACACATGCACACACACACCCCACAGAGATTCTCAAATGTATATGATAAGCTTGAAAGACAAGGCTGTAAGCTATAACATTAGGAGTGAATTTTCAAAATCTGTTTGTCTGCATAAAGAGCTCCGCTGAAACAGAAATAAGACTGATGGAGCTCAAAATTGAGCACCAGAAAAGAGAGAGAAAACAAATCCTATCAGCTAAGAAAGAGCACACTGGGGAAAAGTACTGGTTTTCATGAAAATGTCAGTGATTCACCATGGAATAAAATTCAAAAGCCACTGACCCCAATGAAAGCTTCCAGTGGAAACATGTGGATTTTGCCTCACTTCATTTAAAGAATGCTTTATATTTCATTAAATACCATCAGAAGCATTTTCACGGTTTTTGTAGTATGTGCTTTCTCATTTTATGTTGCTATGGAAGAGATACTACTGACCCCGCCAAATTCTCAAGAAGTCTTCAGGAAAAAAAAGAGCATATCAATGAATCAATATTATCACACAAAATAGATAGGACATTTTTGGTCCCTTAAAACATGCACTGAGGGCTCAACAGTTCTTCTATTTATTACAGTAACTTTCTATTTAAGCAGATTTGCTTAGAGAATTTTTCATACATACCAACTCTTCACTCTGACTTGTCAAAAGATCACGACTGAATGCAAGCTGACTTACGCAGACCACAAACCTGTCGGGAAACACTTGGAGTTCTGCACAAAAGGAAAGAAATCACATCACTCTAGGCATCAAAAGACTCTGAACACAGAAATGCTTGGTCCAAGAATTCTGCCTTACAACGATAAGCATGTATGTATCAGACACGTCTTCTCCCCTGCCCTCCTTCCAGGCTTTGCTATCAACAGCGCAGGGCAAGCACAAAGCTCCAGGGGCAGCGGAGGAGGCTGCAGATGGATCCACCTGGGCCCCTGGACCATGGCACCCCAAGAAAGCCCCAGGCGCCCAGGGCCATCAACAGCTTTCCTCCTGCGTCCGTTTGCTGTTTTCTGTTCAGACTCACATTTGGGAGACAGGATCAACATTTACTACTGAGTGTTCAGACATACACAGGCAGAGGGAGGAAATCTGAAAACACACCTTGTCAGTGTTCTTGCTAGCTTCCCTCTCCCCTCTTCAGTCACCTGGCCTTGGAGAGGCTCCCTAGGCTGCAGGGCAAATTCCCAGTCTGAACCAGGCTATGAAAACAGCAGTGTCGGAGATCACTCTTAAGGAAACAGTTAAATGTGTAATAGAAGGACTTCCCTGGGGACCAGTGGTTAAGAATCTGCCTGCCAATGCAGGAGATGTGGGTTCAATGCCTGGTCCAGGAAGACTGCACATGTGGTGTGCACTACAACTATTGAACCTGTGTTCTAGAGTCCAAAAGTCTGAACTGAAGCCTGCTCTGAGCCTGTGCTCTGCAACAAAAGAAGCCACTGCAACGAGAAGCCTGGTACACTGCAACTAGAGTAGCTCCCCCTCGCCACAACTAGAGAAAGACTGCGCACAGCAAAGACCCAGCACAGCCAAAAACAATAAAATAAATTTTTAAAAAGTGCAATAGTAAGTCTGGTCCAACTATACCACAGTTGCAATGACCTATGATTACAATTTCTTAAAGCAAAACCACTGACTTCCGGGTGGGGAAGGTTAAATGAATCACAGAACCAGACTCCTCAATGTTCAATGAAAGGATGATTGAATGGTAAATGTGCCTCCTTCTCCATCTGTCTGTCCATCTCTCCATTCATCCACGCAGACCCCATCGACCTCTGGGGTGATGTCTGGAGTGACATTTAGCCCATGTTAACAGTGAATATTCTGGTGTGGGGAATGGGGAGTGGGAGGGTCTTCTCTTCCCCTTTTTTAAAACTTGGTTGTACTGCCTGAGCTGGAGAAGGAAATGGCAACCCACTCTGGTATTCTTGCCTGGGAAACCCCATGGACAGAGGAGCCTGGCAGACTATAGTCCATGGGGTCGCAGAAGAGTCAGACATGACTCAGCGACTAAACAACTGCCTCAGTATTTGTATAATACACATGTATCGTATTTACAACGGAAATAAAGCTAATTTTTTCTAAAAGGGAAAGCCTTCCTTTTAGATGTGACCAATTTGTATTATTCTGAGTCATGAAAGTGAAGTCTTTTACATACAATGCACACTGCCCACAAGAAACGGCAGCGGGAGGGCCCTGAGACAGTGACAGAGAACAGGCGTGAAAGTGTCAGCTATGCAGACACAGGACTCCTGCACAGTCAGTGCCTCAACCACTTGAGAGGCCAAGTTACACCAAAATGATGCTCTGGGATCCACTCTCTCCTCACTGCTGTCTCCTCGGGGGTCGCCTTCTCTCCTCCAACTCACTCTACTCGGGGCAAGCGGGTCAGCAGTTCCGACAGCAGCTCTGCTGACCCTGCTCAGAACCCTGCCCTGGGGCTTCGTTGCTCACCACGACTCGTGCGACTGCTCAGCCTCTACAGCTGGGGCCGGGCACGCTGTTCCGCTTCTCCTTCTGGTCCGCAGGCAGAAGCCCCCACTGCAGGGGCTTGGGGGTGTAACTTCTGACCCCACGTGGTGCTTTGGGCTTCCCTGGCGGCTCAGCTGGCAGAGAAACCGCCTGCAATGCGGGAGACCTGGGCTTGATCCCCGGGTTGGGAAGATCCCCTGGAGAAGGGAAAGGCTACCCCACTCCAGTATTCTGGCCTGGAGAATTCCATGGACTATATAGTCCACGGGGTCACAAAGAGTCGGACACGACTGAGCGACTTTCACTTTCACTACATGGATGCTTTAACTGGCTAGGTAAGTATAGATGGACATTGAAAAGGCAGAAAAACAAAGTTAACAAAGCAGTTAATATTTATTCACTAATTCTTAGAACATCTTATTGAAATAGGTGATAACCAGTCTGTTTCCTGCTTTCTGGAACGGGAAATGGAGCCACAGAATTCATTATTTGTACTCCCTCTCCCAACATGACGATCTTGAAACACAGTAGCTCCTCAGTGAATCAGAACCAGAATTCAAGAGACTTCCCTAACCCTCCCAAAGCAGGGGGCCCAGGTTCAATCCCTGGTCAGGAAACTAGATCCCGCATGCCACAACTAAGGCCCAGCACAGATAAATAAATAAATAAATAAAATTTTTTTAAAAAGAACTAGAATTCAAAATTATTAGTTCTATAAAATGATTCCTCCAAAAAATAAGAATGCTAGAATAGCAGATTTTAAACAATTTGGTGCCAAGTATTTTATCAACAGAAAGCCCTTCACTCTGCTTAGGTTATAATTGAGATTTGCATTAACATTTAAATAAAGTAAAAATTCAGGCAATGGCAGTACCGTGAAGGGTAGCTAGGCTGTATTTTAACAGATACAAAGTTAAAGGATTTATTTTACTAAGAGGATTGAGCAGAGTGGAAGACCCCACCATGAGAGTAATACAGTCAAGTGACACTTAAACTTAAGAAAGTGCAGGTAATTGCAAAGATTCCAAGACCAAACCTTTATACAGGTAATTTTTTGTTGTTGTTGCTTTGTTTAGAATACTGTATTTTACTTGGAAGTACTACTGCTTTTATTTTTTCCTAAATTTTTACTGGAGTGTAGTTGCCCCACAGTTCATTTTTAATGTCCCTATTTCACATCTTATTTACTAAAATCAGCAAAGGAAGCCGAGCTACATTTTCTTTCCAAAGCTCAGATGGACTTGGAGAGCAGCTGTCAGCATCTGACTCTGTTGCTGGCTGGACACACTTGACCTCACCTCCTCAGTGGGCACCTTGACCTGGGGAGCCGTAGGGGCAGCAGGCCCCGTCACACACCTAGGGAGAGGCCCTGGCGGCTCGGGACCAGGAACACACTTTCTCACATACACGCTTGCCCTGCACTCCAGGGCCTCAATGTGCACAGACAGTGGTGAAGAGGTTTGTGGTTGAACTGCCTGAAGTGACTCTGGAAGCTCAAGTGCAGCAGGAAAGGAAGGCGGAGCCTGGCCCCGCTCCCTGGGCTGAGAAAGGCAGTGAACAGAGCAAGATGGAAAAAAATAATCACAAGCGCTTGCAAACACTCTTAATTAGTACTTCAGTTTCATGAAGGCTATGCGGCCACTAGGAATCGACATTCCTTAATTTTCCTTCCTTCTCTAAGGACACACTCATTGTGCAGAATGACCCAAGAAATCGGCTTCTTACCTGTCCTTGGTAAGCCCCTGAGGCAGCGGAGACGTATTCTTCTTTTGAGGAAATAGGCTGTGATGTGAAAGCCATAACCTGAAAAGTGAGTATGATACATCACTCGTGTGGAATCTAATTTTAAAAATGATACAAATGAACTTACTTGTGAATAGAAACAGATTCACAGATTTTGAAAACAAACCTATGGTTACCAAAGGGGCCACGTGAGGGGGGGGGGATATATTAGGGGCGTGGGATTGACACATACACACTACTATATATAAAAAGGTAGTCGACAAGGACCTACTGTATAGCACGGAGAACTACGTTCAACATCCTCTGATCAACCATAATGGAAATGAACATGAAAAAGAATGTGCACATATGCATATAACTGAACGACCGCTGTACCGCCGAAATTAGCACAACAGTGTAAACCAACTACACTGCAATAAAGCAAAACAGAAACACCTGTAAAGCAAAAGAGGTCGGCATCAAATCATACACCTGTCTGTGGAGGAACCCCACCGGCCCAGCCCGGTGCCTGCCACCCAGTGAGCACTCGGTGACTGCCTAGTGAGGAAGAGGAGGATCTGCAGAGGCCTCTTCCAGAGGAAGAGGTGCACAGTGCCCGGGCAACTCCTAGGGGGCCTGGCCAAGGCACCTGGAACAACCCCCAGTCACTGAAGCAGCTCGGTTACTGTATCTGGAAAACGGCCTAACTGAGGAGGTCTGACCAAACAGGCCTAACAATCAGGCCCTCAGGCAGGATGCTTAATTCAGGCCTAGTGGTTGTACCACTGGCCACTTTCTGATACTCACTGCTTACCAGCTCACATAATGAAGCATTTAAACTATTTGAAGAGGAGTGTGTTTTGCCTATAAGTTATTCTAATTTAAGTAAAGCCTTTATATAGGATATGATGAAACAAAATATGACATAAGTCCCCCTGCCTCTCCCCAAAAAAGAGGCAGAAAAAAACTCCAACTACCAGAATGGCCAAACCGGAAAAGGCCATGAACACCAACTGTTGGCAAGAATGTGGGCTAACAGGAATTCTCATGCACTGACAGCTGCTTTCAGCATCTAAAGCTGAACTCAAGCATAAACACAGGGTGCATGAATGGCACTTTCACAAAAGTCCCAAACTAGAACTGATGCAAATATCCACCAAAAGTAGAATTTTTCATTAAAAACAAAGTTGGGTGTGTGGGAGGTAATAGTCACACAGTGCAAATCCTTCTCTGCCCCTAAAAATAAATGAACTTCAGTTAGAGGCCATATCAGGACTAAATCTCACAAACATAAAGTTAAGTGAAAGAAACCTGGTCCGAAGGAGTGCACTCCACCTGTAACGGTGGAGACATTACCGTTCCTCTTACCACCATCAAATTCTGCAGCAATGAAACTTCTGTAGTCACAGGAAGTACCAACATAGTTCCTTCCTCTCTCCATCCCTCCCTTCTTTCCTCCCTTCCAGCCCTGCTCCAAGTATAAAGTACTCTGTCAAATGAGCCTCCTGAAATGATCAAGTAAAAATGTCTGGTTAACACAGTAGGCAACCTGGTGGAAGAATCAAAAGCAAAAGGCCCACCAAGGAAGGGTGAGGGTTCCCAGGTTCCCAAACAACTTCAGCAAATCGCTTATCCTCAGAGACAGGACTTTAGTCATAAAACTGGAAGGTCCAGGGGTTAAAAGAGGTGGTCTCCAGGCCCATTGGACTCTCCAAAGACCAATAGGATCATTGTTTTGAAATAATCTGTATACAAAGAATACAATTAAAGAAGTTTCCAGTTCTATATTCAAGTATCCTTCTGTCATCCTCGTAGAAAGATCCAGAACATCAGTGACCACAGACCTGATGTTCTGTCTACACAAGCTGTGACAGCACAATTCCTTTAGCCATGGGGATTTCGCAACAACAGTGACATCTATGACAGGATAATCTCCAGGTTTACGGAGATGAAATATGTTTTTTCCTAACACACTTGAAGTGGATCGCATTTTGGTCATGTGGCTTTCTTCTGCTTAAAATGTCAAACGAAATATGCACACCACTGGCATTATTCTGAGTGCTTTAAAACAAATACTTCAACCCTTAGGTCACCGGGAGAGTGGAAGTGACATCCACATCTGTTTATTTGTCTTGCAGCTGAGGGAGGGGGATGGTAGGAGACATAACAGTCAGGGACATAGAAACACACAAAGAGAAGTGATTTTCAAAGTAATGATTTATTATGTGAGTTTTGCAAGGGACTGAACAACAACAAAAATGCGTTATCAAAGTCACTCTGCCTCTGCTGCGGATCACACTTTAACGCTTATAGTTCCATGTGATTAGGGGTCAGAGAATATGCTCCAATTCTCAAAACTCTTTTCCCTATACAAAATCTCCAGGAATAGAGTGTTATTGGTAGGAAGAGGCTGAATCTGAAGCTGACTAGGAAAGTTCCAGTACGAGTTCAGGAAGCCTGGCATCTGGAGATACCACTTGAGTGATAACTAAATCCTGCTTGGTCAGCTGTCTCAATACACCCCTTCCCCTCTAGGAGAATAAGCAGCATAAGTCACACTCTGACTGTTTTACTACTGAGGTTACCAGGAGAGTGGGGTTTACTGCAATCTTTCCTCCTCTGTCCCACTCCCTTCACCGCCCCACGACAGGATCTTAAAGGGAATCCTTCCTAAACTGGTGTCTTCCTCTGGTTTTAGTGGAAAACCCTACTGAACACACCTATAAAAGAAATGGTAAGCTTACCACGTAAAGAGATTTGCACTTGCTTAGTCCAAATTATACTGGCTACGGGAAACCTTACTGTTTAAAGAGAAAGCAGAAAGAGAAAACACAAAAACTGTTTGTGTTGGTTCTTACAGCAACCTAACTCTGATAATGTAAGTAGAGAAACTCACAGCTGTTGAAATACACTGAGCTGACATACTTAGGGAGCTGTATTTCGTTTGTCCACAGATAACAGCAGTGATAAAGATGCATTATCTTTGCTCTTTAATGACATGGGTTTCACAGAATGGAGCAGGCCTCTGAGACTGTGTACTAATCCGGGGCTCAAGCAAAGCTCCACCATGCTCGAAAGCTAAATGGCAGCTTGGCAAAGAATCCAGGGGACCCTCTGCTTCCCCTTCTCGGGCACCAGCTCCAGGCTTGCAATACTGATGCTCTAAAAGCCCAGAACTGGGCTCAGGGCTGGGAGGAAGAAGCAAAATGGAAATCATAAAGTGATAACCTTTTCATCTGAAAATTACATGGCAATGGTATTCCAAAATCTAGAGGCACTTTTAAATCACAATTAAGGACGCCTATTTTCTTGAGAGCTACTGTGGTCCTCCTTAGCCTGAAAAAATCTATCTTTAGCCACAAATAGAGACTGGGATTAGAGAGACAACTGCTTTATCACGGAAGCATCTTTCCACCAGTAGTCTTCAGGTAGATCTATTTCAAGAAATAATTGGGTTACCATCGTAGCTTAGACAGTAAAGAATCTGCCTGCAATGCAGGAGACCCAGGTTCAATCCCTGGGTTGGGAGGATGTCCTGGAAAAGGGAACGGCAACCCAATTTAGTATTCCCGTCTGGAAAATTCCAAGGACAGAGAAGCCTGGCGGGCCTCAGTCTATGGGGTCACAAAGAGTCAGACGAGACTGATAGACACACACTGCACTGCTTAATCTATGAGGCGTCCAGTCCCAGCCAGAGACCACAGTCCCCCAGCGGCCCCCAAAGTCTCCTATCCCCGCATCTCCCAACTCCATACTTTATAAGGAGCTGCTGCACTCCCCACCACCTTCCAACAGACAACCTTCCAGCCCCCAGCGACATTCTAGATGACAACCTGTTACCAGACGCACTTCCTTCTACTCTTCTCCAAAGAACATCACATATATATGGAATTTAGAAAGATGGTAACGACAACCCTATGTGCAAAACAGAAAAAGAGACTCCTATGTATAGAACAGACTTGTGGACTCTGGGAGAAGGCGAGGGTGGGATGTTTCAAGAGAACAGCATTGAAACACGTATATTATCTAAGGTGAAACAGTTCACCAGCCCAGGTTGGGTGCATGAGACAAGTGCTCGGGCCTGGTGCACTGGGAAGACCCAGAGGGATTGGGTGGAGAGGGAGGTGGGAGGGGGGACCGGGATGGGGAATACATGTAAAAAAAAAAAAAAAAAAAAAAGATACACTATGGTTGTGATAAAAAAAAATAAATAAATAAATTAAAAAAAAAAAGAGAGAAAAAAAAAATACAAAGAACATCAAGTATCTGAGAGAAGAAAGGAGATGGGGTCATATTTGTGAGGTAAAGAAAGGGTGGTCTCTGCTTTAAGGACAGAGTTCCGCTACTATTTCATTTAGCATTCTGTCTAAAATAAACTGCTCCAAATGGCTTTATTATAAATTTAGAGACACTATGAAATAGAAAGGAAAAAACAAACAAACAAAAAAATCAAATATGAGTTGAACAAGCTCCACCCAGACTTAGCGTGGCAGCAGATTAGTCTTAAGTAGTACTGTGCTCCAATGAGTAATAGTACTTTTGAAGGGAGTGGTCATTTATTTGGGTCGTTATATTAACATTTCATTGTCCCAAGATGCTAAGAGCAAATCTCCAACATGGAGTTTTTACTGTAAAGCCATCCAGCTTCACTTATTTTCCAGGGGATTCCTGGCCAATGTGACCTGAGCTTCCGCAAGACTGCCAAGGGGAAGCTGCGGTCCAGCTTGTGGTGGGAAGCCCTCTCCCACAGTGATTAGGAAAGCAATTCACAGGAGCCTGGGAAACCGCCTTGGGCTCACCTGCTGAGCCCTTGGACGGCTAGCCTGGGGCCTGGGCAGGAAAGCACCACTCACAGTATGCTCCACCCACCACTCGGTGAATCCCCTCCAGCAAAGGCTTCTCTCAAACCACAGGAAGCCCTCAGCAAGACCTACTGTGGCTCACAGCACTTCTCTGCCTGGGACAACTGCCTCGTTTTCACAAGCATGAAAAATTTCAAACACCCAGAAAAGTGGAAAAACAGTGCCATGAACACTCAAAGCCCACCATCTAGACTCAATAATGGTTAATACTGATAATTA